TAGTGCATGGACTGAGAAAGTGCAGAAGCGCAGGTGCTCCGTGAGCACCAGTGCTGCTGCTGAGGTCTGCTGCACAGGAGACGCCGGTCTCTCCTGCGCACAAGCTGCAGGAGCCAAGGGTGTCAAAGGGCAAGCGTGCCTGCATCTGTTCCTGTGGGTAGGAACAACCCGTGGGAATGGCCACCTTCAAAGGTGATCTCTGCAGAGGCCCTCCTGCCAATGGCCCCCTCTTCACACCCTACACCAGCTTTCCTATGCATCACCTACCAGGATGCAGGTGAGGAGGAAGTGGGGGAACATGGCGTCCAGTGCCTCCAGTTCATAGGCATCCCATAATTCTTTTCCATCCCTGTTGGTGGAGCCAGAGCCCAGAGGCCCAGCTCTGGGGAATCTCCAAATGTCAGCAAGCCAAAATAAAGGGAGGAGTCATGGGGGGAAGGGCAGAGTTAGCTGGGAAAAGACAAAGGGGAGTCCCCTTGAGCTTTGGTCTTCAATACAGGGAGAATTGGGGCAGGGAGCCAGAGCTGTGCATGATTATTAAACTGTCCTGGTCTCCAGTGTGGGGTAACCACCCCACCAGCACCCCAAGGTGGTCAGGGAACCCAGTAGCCAGAAGAAAGACATTGCTGTCTGGGGCAGGAGGTGGGAGTGGGGGTGGGGGCAGCTCCAACTCTTTTCTCCTCAATTTCCAAGGTGACAGCAGAAGGAAAAGACAGATACAGAATGGAGGTAGACGTGACAGGCTTTTCTTCCGCTTTTAGTTACCCTTCGGAAATTTGCAGGTTTGATTTTGGCATTGGTGCTTTATTCGGCAAATGTAGTTTCTGAGGGTCTGTTGCTTTCAAATGCTAAGGAACAACCCTTGAACTTCAATGATTCTATAAAATGGTTTTCAACCTTATTGAATGGCTTGAATACGAACCCCAGTTGTGTCCCTCATTAGCTTACATTATGAAAACGCTAGGGGCATCTTGCAAATGTCTTGGTGATGATAAGGCAGAAATGGGAAAGGTAATTTGTCACCAGGCAGAAACTAACAACTGGACACATTTGGGGAAATGCATTCTGGGTATGTCTACAAATGCCCTTTTCTACACAAAAATGATGGGTTAAACCAAAGTCGCATGGCAATTCTATCAGCCTAGGACAGATACATGGATATAATTTGCCCTTCCTTGGAGGAAATAGGAGCTGGGATTCAAGATTCTCTTGTTGTTGTACATGTGGATCTTTCTTTAAGATTATATTGTAGACAGAAAGTTCCAACTGTATTACAAATTTTGTGATGCTGAATTGAATGGTTTTAATTGTAGGGGAGGGGGCTAGAAACCCCTCAGTAATTCTCATTGAGGAATTCTGTTCTTCTGATAGGAATTTTATAAACCAATCATGACTCCCTTTTTAACATTTAAATGAAAAAATCTTCATGTTAATATTTACCAGGCTTACTTTCACGCCAGTTTCGTCTATTTATGCTAGACGTGACGGAGTCCTAAAAAGTGTGTGCTTTCAACAAGGTTTTCTGGATAGCAAGTGGTGTTTTACTCAAACGGATACAGTAAGAAGTGAATAGAAGATGGCGATGTGTGCTTAAGGTAAACTTAGGGGGATGGTAAATCAGTGAGAAGTTTGCAAGTTGCCTCTCCTGGGCTCCTGCAGAGCAGGAAGACAATACCACTCCATCACTTGGACAGGCGCCAGCACCAGGATCCCAGCAATGACGGACCCCAGCTTTAGGTGTTCAAGGGAGTAAGCTCTTAGGAGAAAGATACGGCAAGGCAGACAAAACTTGAGGTCCTTATCCCTATTTCTATATTTTATGAGCTAAAACCAGCACGTAACTTCTTGCCTATGACCTTTGGCAATCATGGGTTCTAAACTCCAAAGTCCTTGCCTCCTAATGGACTTGCAGTTAGCAGCTCCGGGGAAAAGGACTATCATCTCAGGGAGAAGCAGTTACTGGAGACTGAAGCATGCAACAAGTATCCTATGTTGAAAAGTGGGACTTAGTGGGAATTTATTATCTCCAAGTCCCTATTTCCCACCTTACAATTCCCCGCTCTGCCCATAGTTCATCATTGCTAAATCCCTTATTGCCCACGTCCATTCACATCTCAAGGACTGTAGAATTCTAAGCTCCGCACATATTATTTCTCTTTCTGACTCCCAAGGTAACCCAGCACAGTGACAGGTTGAAGGCCCCCCTGACTCCCAACAACGGGGTCCAGATTTGAGCCTTTACATTACCACAAGTTGACCATTTGCCCAAATATGTAATTTCTCTTTCACAGAGTCGTCCCCTGAAAACGAAGGGAAATGGTATCTCCCTGACACTGTGTGGACTCAACATATATAAAGCATTCATGTAAATCCCTGGTACCCCTTTAATCTTAATGGAGGTGCTTCTAATATTTTATTACTTCCCCCCAAAGATACCCTTACCTGCCATCTGTTCCATTCTTAACCATAAGTTATTTTCTGTAGAGCAGTCATTTATATAAAATCAGTATGTATATACATACATATGTACATACACATATGAACTCTGTATGTGCACGTACATGTGTGTAGTCCTAGATGCATAGACAATACATTCAGATTTACTTTAGAAAACTTGACAGAAATTGCTGGGACTTTTTTCTTCCCTTCAATCTCCCTCTTCTGACCCCCCCGTCTCTCTCTCTCTCTCTCTCTCTCTCTCTCTCTTCACTCTGCTATTGCAAAAAATCTGACCAGAATTCAAGTAGGAAAAGAGAAAGGATGGAAGCTTTATCTTAGATGATTTCCATAAATGTTTCATGCTGGATGGGTAGAAAACAATATTGCAAGATGAATTTCAACGTGTCGTTCATTTCCTCTCAGCACTTGAAAGGTTCAGATTTCATCAGAAGCCAAGAGGGGGAAAAAATCAATGATTGAATATTTTTCTCTTTCTAATGAAATCGTTGTGCTTCTTGATCAAATACAATTCAATTATCTTGGAAATAACTAGCTTCTCATTAACTTGCTCAAGAACTTAACCAGTTCAAAAGATAAAGAAACAGAATACTTTATTATAAAACTTATAAAATAATTAAATATTACACATATATTTTGACTTTTCTCTATAATCCATGGTTTTAGTCAACATTTTTTCCTCAGAATTAATAGCACTTACTTAGAGAAGCAAGTAAGAACACATAATAGGCTATTAATAAATTAATTTTTCCATAAAATAAAATGATAATTATATATAAAGACACAAGTTACTTGTCATTCCAGAGGGCAAAGAGGTGGTGATGTGGGACATTAGATTTTATTTTTCTCATGATATAATGGCCACAAAAGGGCCAGCCAAGTAGGTTAAGAGAAGTTCTACATCAGCCTCTGGGTTTGAAAAACTCATGATTTCAATAAGTAGAGGAACAAAGGAGTTTGCTAAATTTAACAAGCCACTGTCTAGTTGGTCGTGCTGAGTTGGCTAATCCTTATTTGAATTGAGACTTTTTTAAAGTAGTGAAATTGAGTTACATTCATCAAAGGAGCTGGGGGGGGGATGGTTCTGGAGTAGCACTATATAAATACACCCTTTATAAACCACTTCTCAAAAAATGACAGGAGGACATAGTCTTGTACGTTACTTTGGTTCTGGCAAAATAGTGTGTGGTGAGTTTTTCCAATTGAGAACAATTTTAAGCTTGTTAATGTCTATCAACAGCTGGCTGCGGGTGGTGACCCAAAACACTGGAAAACACTCTTAATTCATTGGAAGGTCTTGGCATATTTTGATTTATTCATATTAATGTTGCACACAGACAGTGGGTTTTTCTCTCGACATTTTTTTCTTTTTTTTTTTCCTTGTTCACTAAATCCTAGAGCAAATTTAAACTTGTCAGCTGGTAAGAAAAAGCCACAAGCAGCCTTTAATTTTCCAAGCACTCTGATAATACCCAGGGACCATTAGAAATGATGGCTTTCCTTTCCTTCAGACACAGCTATTTTGCCACTTAGTACCTCCTAGATTTTTTTTTTTTAGCAGAGATGAGCAGCAGGCCAATTCCTAGAGACACCCCCCCACACGTAAAAGTTTTGGGGGGGATTTGCTATCATGTGGAGGGCATCTGTGTTTGTCTTGTATGAATATTTGCTTTCCAAGCGTGAATTTCAGCTACACAGAGATCCTAAATGGTTCATGAGTCCTGTTTCAGTCCTATTTCCTTGGAACACTTTTCAAGTTGTTAAATTTTAGTCTTGGAGACTTTCTGTAAGCAGATTATACTTTACACAAAATAATAAAACAACGCACGCACATACACACATGAGCATGTGTGCAGCACTCACACACACACACACACACACACACACACACACACACACACACAATAAACAATGTGAAACTTGCCAGTCCAGCAGCAAGCATCATTGTGAGCACCATTTGGCTTCTGATAGAACTCCTGGTTTTGGTGTTCATAGTTTTTGTTGTTGTTGTTGTTTTGGTCAAACTGTGAACTCCAAGTAATGGTTCAACAAGGAATCCCATCCCACTTGTGATGGATCCAAGTCTTAAGTCTTTGCCCTGAAGTCTTACAGGACCTGTGGGTCGCATCTTTGCCATGAAATCACTTGAAGTTCAAGGGTGGGAGACCTGTCCCTCACTTGGTCAAAATGCAAACTTGACTTCTTAGCTCCGTGTGACTCATCGCTTCTTTCATAGAGCAGTGCAAATCCATCCATTATTTCTTTGATTTCTATTTTATAAAGTCAGATTTGTCATCGCCTCCTACTGTCAAGTGTTTCACAGAGTACCATGTGCTTATTGAGATCAAATAAGGAACCTCTCTCTCTCTCCTCTCTCTCTCTCTCGCTCTCGCTCTCTCTTTCTCTCTCTCCCTCTCTCCAACTCTGCAGCATCTGGTTTACAGTGCTTTGCTTCCATTGGGAAGGTGGCTGATCTCCCTGGAGACTGACAGGCAGTAAGTGTCTCTGTTCCTAGGCCGGAGAGGAGGCCGTCAACATCAAGGTCAGCTCTTTCTTGTGCAGGACTTGCAGCACTGTTTACCATAAAACTTGTGGTTGCAGACACCATGCTGAGGAACCAGGTGACACCAGCTGAAGAAATCCACGCAGGATGGATCATCTGAAAAGACAAGACACATTGACCACGTGAGCTCCGGTACTCTCGGGACATTTAAGATGGTGACCTGTAGACCAAACACCTACTTAACCTTATGCCTCTGTGGGGGGTGTGTGTGTGTGTGTGTGTGTGTGTGTGTGTGTGTGTGTGTGTGTGTGTGTGTGTGTGTGTGTGTGTGTGTGTTGGGGGGATTGGTTGAGGGGTTTGAACTCTGGGCTTGTGCACTGTCCCTCAACTCTTCAGCTCAAGGCTAGAGCTCTACCACTTGAACCACAGAGCCACTTCCAATTTTCTGGTGGTTTATTGGAAATAAGAATCTCATGGACTTTCCTGGCCAGGCTGGCTTTGAACCATGATCCTTAGATCTCAGAATCTTGAGTAGCTAGGCATTCAGGCGTGAGCCACTGGCGCTCAGCTCTCTGTGGTGGTTTTTACACAGTCTGGATGAAGACTGAGGCGGGGACAGGATGAAAGGGCATGTGACCGTTCACAAATTTAAATAGCAAGAGAATAAATCAGGTGATAGGAAAGGAATCCTATATAGTGGGAGATCAATGTCTGATCAACCATCCATAACCTGGGAACTGACTTGAGTGCCCAAAAGATTGAAGACGAGACTCTCAGCAGCGCATGAAGAGGCCTGTTAAACCATGGCTTTCAGGTGGCTGGAGGTTGAGTCTGCAGGCCCAGGAGCTCTGATTCTCTTGGATCTATTGGGAATCTGCACGTCCGGTTTGGAGGCTCAATTTCAACACTGTGAGTATGTTTAAATACGCACTGTATCCTGCAGATAGGTGAGTTATCACCTGTCTTTTCTAGTTTTGTTAGCTGCAAGTTAAGATGCCTTAAGTCTTCTTAGAAGACACTCAGATGATTCTAGAAGTCCCATACATGTGAAAATTGGATGTTTGCTTTAATGTAAACGTAAGTGGATGATTGGTGGAGGGCCTAGTAATTTTGTTGTATTCTTAAGGGAGAACGTGGAGGTGTCAGACGCTGGGAGAACAAGAAACTGAGTTGGCGGTCTTCCTGGGTCTCACCAGCTTCTCAGGTATCCTCTCACTCCTGTCTAGATGGCACTTTCAGGACTGGCCCCTCTCCTTGGCCCTTCCTACTAGTGCCCAGGGGGAGGGGCTGCAATTTCCTCTTAACCCTAGCCTTTGTGCATGAGGATTTAGAACTTTTTTGGGGGGGGTGGTGGTGGTAAATACTGGGGTTTGAACTCAGAGCCTCAAACTTGCGAGGCAAGTGGGTCACACCTTGAGGATTTCTTGCTATACCTTAGGGTGACAGCCACGAGCCACTATGTCGAACACAAATAATTTAAGTTTAAAGGGGAAAGGTTTTTAAATGGCAATTTCCCATTTCCAAAGTCAGAATTCCTGGCTTTAAGAGTCTTGTAGAATTACATGTTGCCCTTGGACCATGCAAACGAACTGACTTTAACCATGACTATCCCAGAGTTTATACCTTATACAGGTACAGGGAGCATGGATCAGAGAGACTCTAACGCCATGGAGTCTATCTGCATGTGCAATCTCCCCTCACCCTTCCCCCCCACCCCCCCCACCAAATAACTAAGATGACTGGTGGCAGCTGGGGTTCTCTACCTCTCTTCTCAGGAGCTGGACAGAAGTTCGTGTTACAGGCACGGAGTCCTGGAGGCTTCTGGTGGAGCAGACAACTGGAGGAGGGCCGGCCCTGCAGCACACAGTGGACGGATCTGGTCTGCATTCCACCTCCACAGGTCACCGTGCACTGTGGGAGGAAGACAGAGTCAGAAACACGGCGGGATGGCGTTCTTCCTGAGGCCGGCAGCATCAAATAGAAGGACTGCCCACGTCCCTGACGTTCTCAGGAAGCCTGCTGGTTAAATGGATTGTCTGGAGTGGACTGTGGCGCTGAGGGTCTGCCCCAGAGCAGGTGATGAGGGAAGTCTATGGGGAAATGTGTCTCCCAGTTAGGTGACTCATAAAGAAGAAAGATTCAAGCCGGACACTCGTGGCTCAGGCTACCAGTATGTAATCCGAGCTACTCAGGAGGCTGAGATCTGAGGATCATGATTCAAAGGCAGCCTGGGCAGGAAAGTCCATGAGACTCTCATCACCACTAAATTACCAAAAAATAAAAAAATTAAAATAAAAAGCTGGAAGTGGAGCTGTGGCTCTTGGTAAAGCACTAGCCTTGAGCAAAAGAAGCTCAGGGACAGCACCCAGGCCCTAAGTTCAAGCCCCAGGAGCAGAATAAAAAAGAAGTAGGAGGAGGAGGAATGAGGAGAAGGAGAAGGGAAAAAGGAGGAGAAAGGAAGAGAAAGAGGAGAAAGGAGGAAGAAGAGAAAAGAGAAGGAGGAGGAGGAGGAGGAGGAGAATAAACACTAGGGAATAAGGCTTTCTCTGCTGTTTTAAACAACCAAATTGACAATTTTATGTCGTGATATATCATATCAAGGTAAAGGACAGCCTATAAATGGATAGTTGTTGTTTTGCTTTTGAAATCCAGTCAATCAGTTATTGGTTACATTAGTTATAATAGTTTATTCCGGACAGATGAAGTCTTCATTTTGTTGGACAAACACCACAGAGAACAGGGAAGCCCTCAGAGGACAGAGGGCCTAGAAATGTTCTACAGATGTGAGCAGTGCCCATCAGCAGCCTTTCCAAATTGGTGACTTTTTGAGCAGAATGTGCTTGCTACGAGGTGCTTGCTTTATACAGTACCTCTTTTACCAAAAAAAAATAGAATTATTCATATGAAAAGCAAAAACAAAAATAGTCATCCACCAGGGGTTACGATCTCAATGCTGTAGACGTGAAAACTTAAGGTCAACAGATCCCACAGCCTGCCTACAGTCACACGGGCAGTACGACTGGCTGAAGAAGAGAATAGTTATTCCTGTTCCTTACGTTTGGAGAATCACCGAGGAGCCAAGAACAAGGTCTGGCAGACTGCCTCCATCTTTTCCCCCACCTCTCCTCAACGTTAACCTCAATCTGCAGGTGCCTACTTGTTGCCATGGTGACGAATACCAGGCCGCAGCCACGCTGTACACTGGGCAGGCTCGTCGGTTGCAGGCTTCTTCCATGTCCAGGTTTGGTTTCTTCATATGCCGGCATCTCCTCTCTGGGAACACGACCAGTTTCCCCTGCAAGGTCTTCTCGCTGCATTTCAGGTCTCTCTTCCTCACACCCAAACCACAGGTGGTGGAACACTGGGAGCGGAGAAAACAGGTGTCAGGAGCACACGGCTCCACGGTACATCTGTCAAACAGGTGTGCTTCAAGATGTCAGCCACACACACGGATGACCATTGGCCGCTCCCTTGTAAAGATGGGAGCCAGGCTCCCCTAAAGTCAATACCTACAGTAAGTACAGATTTCAAACACAGTAAGTCTGCCTAGGTAGTCTGTTGCCTTTTAAAGAAAATGAATGAGAGAGAGACATGGCCAGGTGCTAACCACCCCCTGGCCCCGTGTGTCTCATTGAGGGCCATATGGAATGGATCTGTGCTGGCCAGAGAGAAGTTCCTCCTCCTTTGTCCCTCACCTGTTCCCCTATTGTTTCTTGGTAAATTCTTTTTCTCAGCATCTCAGTTCCTCAATTGCAGAGACCTGGCTGGTCACTGTGTACACCTGGCCGTCGTGAATTCCAGCCAGCCGTGGATGTGAAGGCCTCCTCCCTCTCTCCTAGCCTCCTGGACACCGGAAGCTACACAGCTACCGCTTTAAGAACTCAAAGGGCTTCTCCGGACACCTGAAACACTCCCGTCTTCATTCCTGCACCACGCACCTTAGGACCTGCCCTTGCCTGCGTCATCCAGTTCCCTTGCTCTTAAAGTGAAAGACTGGCCGGCCAGGCTGATGCTACTTCTCATTGACAGTGTGCATGCTTCCTCAGTGCTGCCAGAACCCTTTTCTAGCCCCCTCTCCTAATAGCTTGTGATGTAACTCGAGGGTCACGTCTGAGTTTTCTCAGAGCACGCAGCCCTCTGCCAGGACCCCCTTCTCCCAGCCCCGCTGTGTGTGAGGCTGCTGCAGCTCATGGCTCAGGCTTGCTGGAGAACCCCTCCTGCCCACGATTCTCCCTGTAATCCGTTTCTGGTCAGCCAGGAACTCTCTTATCACTCTGCGTGTCTTGTTTTGGGGGGAAGGAAGCGCAGTGGGTAGGGCCCCATGTGTGCAGAAGAACGGAGCCCCGTGAGTCTGAAGGGAGACGGGTTAAGCAAAGCCCAGCAGTGCCCCCACAGCATGTACCTCACTCCACGAAGAGGCCACCCACTGGAGCCGGTTGTTTTTGGGGCACCGTCCCAGCACGCAGCCCTCCTGCGCCTCGGGCCTGGGGCTGCCGGAGCACCGGCTCTCAGGGAGTGACTCCGCAGAGGAGCCTTTGCACAAGAGCTCACGCCTCCTCACGCCTCGTCCGCAGGTCTTGGAACACTTGAGAAGAGGGGGAGGAAAGGAAAGACAAAGCAAAACATGCAAATTCAGATGAATAGCATCTGGGCCAATGCTGGAGGCCATTATTAAGGAATTGTTCGCAGAATTATTGTTCACCACTTGAGCAAAATTGCCAATAATTGCACCAGGATAGAGGACCCAATCCACCGTCAGCCCTCACGGCAGCCTTCTGATGGTTGTAACAAGCTGTGTCACCCTAAGGCTGGCGCACCCTAACTCTCCAGCTGTGCTCATGGGGGCGGGGCAGAGGATTTCTCAGCATAGCATCCATCATAGAGACTGGGAGACTGAGTGGTGAGTGGCAGGTGGTTCTATGCCTCTGCCAATTACAGGGCAATACGCCTTACCAGGAACTTGTCAGAGATGCTAATTTGCCATTCGGATCTCCATTTTGTTTCTTTTTTGACCAGGCCCGGCCATGGAAACAACAGTCAAATATCCCTTTTCTGCTTCATTCTTTGAATTTTTATTTTTATTTTTGGGAGAATTCGGGAGCCAGAGCTATGTACCAGTTCCTTGCCCAGCTATACTCCCTAGACAAGCCCCATTCACGTGTGGAACGATTCTAAAGGACCCCTAGTCCTTGAGGTGCACAAGAACCACAAGAACTGCAGCCAGGCCAACAACTCATTCTCAGGAAGCTGTCAACAACCGATGCCAACGCTCTGCACGTTACCTGTGACCAGGGCCCCGGGCTCCATTCTGGAGGGCATTCGTGGCTATTGCAGACTTGGACCTGCGTGGGTGTGCTCACTGGGCAGAGGGAGTGTAGCACCGCCTCCTCCTCCTCCTGGAAAGGACGCTTCTGCACACATTGGATCTTCCTGCTCTGCTGGCCCCCCGCGCATGACTTGCTGCACACGCTCCATTCTCCTGGCATCCAACTTTCAGGGGAAAACAGCAGGGCTTTTCAAATGAAGGCAAGACTTCTGGGTGGTCACTTCTAAAGCAGTTGCTATGGGGCGTGAGTCCTCTGATGGAAACGTTGGGTCTATTTTATAACCAGAGAGGCCCACGTGTGCTCACTGTTGTTCTATAGGCCGATGTGGCCCAGATACATGGAAGTGTAGTTCACCACAATGCAGTTCTAGGACAAACAAACACGTTCCTGCCTCCTCTGGGGGTAGGAGACTCATTTCATTCAGCCAAATGTACTGAGAACCTCACTGTGGGACCAGCATGTCCCTACACCCCAGGGTTAGAATAATGAATGGGGCCACGTTCTTTCCCCAAACTTGTCAACCAAACAGTGGAGAGTCGGATGCATGGACTATGAAATACACTGTTTTTTGACCAGTGCTGCAACTGGGATGAACACATAGTAAACAGGACAATCATGAGGTGAATGGAAGAGGCTGGTGTGGAGAAGAGGTGGGTGTTTATAGGAGAGTGGAGTCTGTCTGCAGAAAGTCTCACAGACAGCATTTCTAGAAGTAGTTGGGCAATTCCCAACTGGTTTCCTGGAGAGTCTGACAATTTGCTGATGGAATTAGAGATCTAATCCCAGGTTATCTATTTAAAGATTGCCCTACCAATTCTTTTTTTCATTACCATCTGAGTCATGGAAGATACTTGAATGCTCATCAATGGAAACCATCTTTCTCTCTGGGTCCTGGGGCTTGAATTCTGGGCCTGGGCACTGTCCCTGAGCCTCTTTGTGCTCAAGCCTAGTGCTCTACCACTTGAGTCACAGCACCAGTTCTGGCTTTTTCCGGGTGTTTTTTGGTGAGATAAAGAGTCTCATGGACTTTTTTGTCCTGCTTGTCCTTGAACTATGATCCTCAGATCTCAGCCTCCTGAGTAGCTAGGATCATAGATGTGAGCCACAGCTTCAGTAACCACTTTTGATTAACTGAAGTTGTATAGTAGGTAAAATATAGCATAAAGAGATACATTAGAAGAGATACGTTTGAATCCTAGTAACAATGTCTAAGATTGATCTTTGATTATAAATACGTTTTTTTCTTCTGGTACTGGGGCTTGAACTCAGGGCCTGGGATGTCCCCTAGCTTTTCTACTCAAGCTGATACTCTACCACTTGATAGCTCTACTTCCAGGATATTTTGTGTGTGGTGTGTTTGTGTGTGTGTGTGTGTGTGTGGTGTATGTGTGTGTGTGTGTGTGTGTGTGTGTGTGTGTGTTAATTAGACATAATCTTATCATTTGGGAAAATAAAGGCAAATCAGTAAATGTGTTTAGTCACACCTTTTTAAGTCTGTCACCTCCCTAGTCTTATACTTTTTTCTTCTATTTCCCCCACATGCCTGATATGTAAAATTTAAAAACCTTTAGTGTAGAGAATTGAGCACATGAGTTCTAGAACTATGTGTGTTCTTTAAAAAAAATACATGATCCATATTATTGAACAAAACCCTCAATATCACAGATTAATTCCTTATGGTTTTATAATTATTTTTATCTCATAACAAGATGTAAAGAAGATATACTACAAAATTACTAGCATCAATACTTTTCTATAAAAATGGTACCTTTTGCTGGGTGCCAGTGGCTCACACCTGTAATACTAGCTACTCAGGAGGCTTTGATCTGAGGACTGCAGTTCAAAGCCAGCCCCAGCAGGAAAGTCCCATGAGTCTTACTCCAATTAACCACTAAAAAGCCAGAAGTGGAGTTGGGGCTCAAGTGATAGAAATGCCAGCCTTGAGCAAAAAAGCTCAGGGACAGCATCCAGGCCATGAATTCCATCACCAGGACCAGCACACACACACAAAGAGAAAGGGAGTTTTTGACTTTTGTAGGATCATCTCATCTCTTCTTTAAATGAAAACTGTGTAATAAGATCACATTGTCATAAACAAAATACTACTTCTTAAGATGATCTGAAACACTCATGGATGCATGGATGTCTAGTTATAGAAATATATTTGGCAGAAGATAAATCGCTCAAGTGAATCAAGTTGGCTGGGAAGATACTTCAAATTAGTGTTCAAACAATGGAGTGGCTAAAATCGATCCAAGAACAAACCCACTGAGCTCCCCACAGGGACCATCAGCAGTGGGGCGTCTCCACTCAGCTTTCACCTCTTTTTATTTTGTGTCTTGCTACTGTGTAATTTGCATTTGGGGTTTCATGGTCTGCACAGTATTATGATTTTTAAATTCTTGGACAACTGACATGAAAGTTAAGCATACAACCACATGCAAATTAAACTAATATGAGATTGTGTTATTTAAATAGCTCTTTGGTTCAATTCCAGGAAGAGGAGTCTCTGTTGAGAGTTGGATAAAAGAAGTCTTGACAGTGACTGCACATTACTCTCCACCACCATTACCAGGACATTTGGGTAAAAACACAAAGAGAAAGATGTTTCCAGATGACTTACTAGGCCGGGCAGGAGAAAGCATTACATATTTTGGGCTCAGTTGCTGGTTTGGTTCTTCCATTGCAGAATGAGGAATTGACTTGAGTACTTTGATCACGTAGGCAAATGGCCTTCACACTTACGTAACCTAGAAAGATGGCAGGAGTGACAAAGTGAACATTATTAGGTAATTCAATCTTCTTTTCAATTTTTGCTTTGGATTTACCAGTGTTCTGATACTCCACTTGACAGATGGAATCTATATATTTTGTAAAGATACTTCCTTCTGATCCAGCTGCAACTAATTTGAGTACTAGTTATCCCTGAGATAATAGAGTTTATATTTTAATAATACTAATGTATAGATTCTTAGTGCTCAAGTGGATTCTAGGAACACAGGGATAACTATAACTTTCTTAAAAAAAAACCAAGGCAACCATAGTTTTGTCTCTTAGTTTGGGCACCTATAGATGGACCTTAAAGACATAAGAATTTCTTCATCATCTTTGATTTGTCTCTGATCCTGATTCTCTTAGAATCTTAGATCTCATTTTGCTTTGTGGGATAGTCTAAGTAGGAAGACCCACCCACTACCAATAGGTGGTCTAAGTAACAGGAAACAGAGGGCCAGTCTCCAGTCTATCCATTCATCCATGCATGCATCCACCCATCCATCCACCTATCCACCCACCCATCCATTCACCTATCCATCTGTTGATCTATCCATCTACCTACCCATCCATCTACTCACTCATCCACCCATCCATCCACATATCCATCCACTCACCCACCCACCCATTCATCCACCCACCCATTCATCCACCCACCCACTCATACCAATCCATCCATTCATCCAATCTACGTATATGAGCTCTGTATAGAGACATAAAAAGAGAATAAACTCACAGAACTTATATTGTCATAAATAAGTGTATTTTATATTGCTTCCCTAAGTTCCAAGCGTGAACTTTGGAGCCTTGGTTGTGGTTGACTTGATCCTTTTAGGATCCCTTTCTTTCTACATAGGAAAATTCTCAAGTAGTATAATATTTGCTTTTTATGGAAATAGGTCTTATGAGGGGCCATCCTTGGGTGGCTTTTTTAACCTTGTTTGTTTAACCTACAGTATTAAAGAGACCTGGGGTGAAAGAAGAGACAGCCTCAGAAGAGGAACCAGGACATCACCCACCTCCACCGCAGGAGACAGAGCACTCGGAGAGCACAGCGCTCCAGGCGTGATGGGGTTTCTTTGTTGCTGGCGGGGTTCCATTCAGGGCCTTGGGAAGGGCATACTTCCAGGCTATCCCTGGATTTTTGCCTTGCATCAGTATCTGGAAAGTGAGCGATAACCATGAGAGATCATCCCTCAGGTCAGACAGACCCTGGAATCACAGAAATCTCGCTAAACATTTTGAAGATATTTGCATGTCATTTTGACCTTCAAGTCAGTTCACTTATTGCTCCCAAGTTTGTTTTATGGTGACTTAAAGTGTTGCCACATCTTTTAAATCATGTCAAGAAACGTACTCATTGCCTTACTCATGTAACTGTAATCCCTCTGTACAGCATCTGTACAATAAAATAAAATTAAAAAATAATCATCAGAAATAAACCAAAAAAAGTGTACCTCCATAACGTAAAAATTGTGACGTAGAAAAATGCTAAAAACCAAAATCCAATTTGATATTTGCATAGGATCTCAATGCTGGGTATTAATAAAGAAAATGGGAGGAAGTTATTATTTTCGGGTCTCAACTTAGATTTGAGAGCCTTGTATCACACACACACACACACACACACACACACACACACACACACACGCATGCTCCTGCGCGTACACACACCCACACACATGCTCCCGAGCGTGCACACACACTCATACAGGCACTGCAACTAGTGAATCCACATGGATCTATTTCGTGGTGTGTACTGAACCACAACTTTTTAAATGTAGCACACAGGTAGCACCCATCACTACCACTGCCCCCTCCAAAACAAACCAAAACAAAACCACGGGACACTTACTGAGAGTTACCTCTTATCAACTCCAGAATCAAAATGGGTTTCCAATAGACTTTCCAGAGAAAATTAGTCTAAAAGGAACGCGTGCATTATCAATGGCCTTATCTGATCACATAAGAAAAAAAATGTAGCTGATTCTTAAAAATACAAGGGTTCTAGAAAACTCCAATATCAAAAGGTCTAATGATTGAGGTAAGATAATCTTTTCATTGGACACTTTCCAGTGTCATCCACTCTGCTGGCTTTTTCTGTTCTTATCTCAAAATATTCCTCCAACAACTTTTGAAGCAGCTGACTACTCACTGAAATAAAATGAGAGAGAAGATCATACAAGGAAGGTCACGCCTATAATCCTAGCTATTCATGAGGCTGAGGTCTGAAGATCATGTGTATGCCCCAGCATACACACACACACACACACACACACAAGATCATGCTTACCTGAAACTTCTAACACCTCTAAACTTCTATTACCTTTTTTATATGTGGGTAGACATTCTCTTCTAAATTCCCTCTTTTCTTAACTCCTCATTTTACGTACTTTTAAGCTCAATATAAATAACATGAATATAAATAACTTGTCTTCTCCTACCCCATGATTCCTGTGGAAACTCTTTACCACCAGAACTTGGCATCTGTGCTCCAATGAAAGGCTACTGCTGGTTAAAAATAGAGAAGGCCTGGCCATATCTCTGTCTGGGAGATCCCACCTCAATTAGTGTTGGAGAGTGGCAGCTGTCCACAGACCTTCTCCAGGTCAGACTGCACTTTAGGGTGTCACAAATGGTTTCCACTTTGCTATTAGTTTAAACATATCCAGAAATATTCCAAGTCTTTAAAACAATTTTTGGTAGGTCTGGGGTCTGCATTCATGGCTCATCCTAGACAGGCAGTCTACCACTAAGACACAACCCATGCTCACTTTTAAAAATCTTTTAAAATCTATCTTAAAGGATGCTGGTGACTCATGCCTAAAATCCTAGCTACTTAGGAGGCTAGGATCTGAGGATTGTGGTTCAAAGCCAGCCTGGACAGGAAAGTCTGTGAGGTCTCATGCCCATTAACCACCAAAAAAAAAAAAAAAAGCCAGAAGTAGAGCTGTGGATTGAATGGTAGAGAATTAGCCTTGAGCATAAAAGCCCAGGGACAGTGCCCAGGCCCTGAGTTCTAGCCCCAGTACTGCCACAAAAATATTTATTTATTTATTTATTTTGTCAATCATGGGGCTTGAACTCAGGACCCAGGCACTGTCCCTGAGCCCTTTTGCTCCAGGCTAGTGCTCTACCACTTTGAGCTACAGCGCCACTTCCAGTTTCCTGGCAGTTAGATGGAGATAAGAGTCTCACAGACTTTCCTTCCCAGGCTGGCTTCTAAGGGGATCCTCAGATCTTGGCCTCCTGAGTACCTAGAGTTACAGTCATGAGCCACTGGTGCTTCACTTGAAAATGTTTGTTTGTTTTTGCTAGGATATCATTACTTAGGCTGAGTCTGAGCCACATCCACCCTCCTGCCCAGGTTTCTTGTCTGGGATTAGAGGCACCAGACACTGCACGCAGCTTGACTGAGGTGGAATCAAGCCTCAGATGCGATCCGCCTCATTCACTGCCTCCTACGTAGCTGGGATTATAGGCATGAGCCATCACACCAAGCTTCATCTACCTCTTAACATTCCATGGTATAGATGTCACTTTGCAACAATACATACTTTGCTAACTCCCTGAATAAAAATGTGGATAGGTAGACCTCTATTCTTCCCACATCCTTTACAGCAATCCAAATCCAATCTAACAGGAAAAACCATTACAAATGAATAAATGTCATGTTCTTATCAGTTGCCAAAGGTAAACCTTTCCTAAAACTGAAGTCCCAAGTGTCTTTGAAGTCTGAGGGTCTCTCTAGTCTTTGTTTCTCCTACTTCTGTGGCTAAGCCATACAGCCGTTCTGGGAATCCTGTAACAAAGCTTGCATGGGTTTTTTAAAAGAAGTTTTATGCTTTCCTCATTTGGCATTTCTGAAGCCTTTCTTTTAATGTCTTCACATGGTCTGAAATAAATACAGATACTTTAGAGTTGTATCCACAATCCAAACAGAATGGTGAGGGCAGTTTTGCACAGAAGAGAGGGTACTCTGACTCGATTTCTCCTTCACTCCGAGCAGCATCTGCAATGCAGTACTTTGGGTTGCTGTCTTCTCAGTTCAATAGAAATGCAGATGGCTTCCAGGGGAAGTAATCAAGCAGGGTACAACGCTGATGTGGGAGAAATGGACTAGAGATGGAGTGAGTGACGGCAGCAGCCCTGGAGGGGACACGAGGCTGTGCTGTCAGGACCCGCACCCCACATCTGCCAGATTTAGACAGAGACGATCAAAGGAGACACTTCCTCATGTCTCTCTGCTTCCCAGCACCATTCCATTCTCACCATGCAAACCCCAGCCTGACTTCCTCTGCCACAGAAGAATAGACTTTTAAGGCAAATGTAGAGGAAATACCAAAGGATGTTAGTTGTTGGCCTTCGAGCTCCACAGGCTCATGTTCTGGTGACTTCAGGCTGGTGTAGCAGACCTTTGGGTGGGCGCTCACTATATTCTGTTTTCATTTCTCACATCTATTTCAGACCTGACAGTGCACATGGCTGGTGGTTTCACTGCACAGCATGGGAAAATAAATATTGCTATGAAGACTAAGATGGGTTGAAGAGAAATGTCCATTACTACTAATTAAAAAGAATCAAGATGTCATTCTCCCCAGTCCTCTATTCAAACCAACCATCAGAAAAATGATTGATGCTATCAACAAGAAGAGACTTAAGTAATCTTCCAGGGCCAAACCTACCTCTGAGCCTATATCCATAGATTCCTTTTTGCCCCATTCCTCTTCTGTCCCCTCCTACCCCCTCCCTTCCTTTCCTGGATATCCTGGCCTGGCCTCTAAGGCCACCTCCCTCATCCTGTGCCCAGCTCCGCCTTCCCCCAGATGCTTGATTACGTCTCTGCTCTGTTTGCCTCCTCTCCCCTAGCTGACTGAGATTTCTCTATGTAGGGGATCAGATGGTATTAGAGCTCTCAAGATTTATCTCAGTTCCACACGGCCCTCCAACTCATGTGCCATTTCTCCATTGCCCTTCACAGCAACTGCCGCCGCAGCAACAAATCCGTGGAAAGTTCCTCTCTTCCCCTTTCTCCTCACCCACTTGTGGTCCTCTGCCAGTCAGATGCTCCTCCCTGGGATCACCTTCCCCATCACCGAAACAAAAGCGAAACATCCTCAGAAACGCAAAGATCTGACCAGCACGGCATGGAATCTGTACAAGCAATGAGGGGGTTGACTGGTGGTGGTGCCTCACACCTATAATCCCAGCTACTTGGAAGGCAGAGATTGGGAGGATTCATGTTTGAGGTCAGCCCAGGCACCCATGCCCCACCCCACCCCCAAGACAGGGGGAAAAATGTCCTAAGACCCCATCCAATGAACAAACAAAAAGCTAGGTATGGGGTTCACGCAATCATCTCTTATTACACAGGGGGATCACAGTCCAAGGCAACCTGAGGAATAATCCTGAGACCCTATCTGAAAAAATGACAGGAGCAAAAATGACTAAGGGTATGACACAGAGGTAGAGCACCTGCCCATCAAGTGCAAGGTCCTGAATTCATACCCTCATGGCCACACACACAAAAAAGCAAAAATGAAACCAATCTCTTCCCTATTTGTAAGGCAATTAGTAATTTATGTATCCAGCAAGAAGCAAAATGACACTCTTTACTGTAAGTGTTCGCAGAAATATAAAATCTTACATTAGTAAGTCATAAAACCCAGAGCAACTGCACGTGTGTGTTCTATTATGGTTTTATAAGCCAGGGATCTAGAGAGCCTAGTGTTATTTATGTCTTGAACATGCCAGTAGTTCCAGGCAAGGCACAAGTGAATAAAGGCACCCCAACTTTACAAAATCAAATGACTCAAGGCTTGACTCGAATGTCTACACAGCTATAAATCCACGTGCAAAGTTGTAAGTAGAATCCTGGAGACTGAGAATTCTTGTCCGTATCACACAGCAGTAGGCTGACAAGACAATTATGTGCTAAAAAGATGAAAGGTGAGTGTATGCTCATTCTAATTACTATAGGTTATAATACCCTATTTTCTACTTCTCCAAGATAAATGAGTAAATGAGTGCTCTCTCTGCCCTTGCTTTTATGCTGCATTGAGGAAGATGATAAAAGAGCATAGAACACTAGCACTACCTTGCTCCTTGCTATAGGGTGCTTAACACAGTCATCCCTTAACAGTGGATAGTGGATGCAGCAA